AAATGTTCTGGTTCTGTAAAAGTTTCAAATATACAGCAAACAAGAAGTTTCAACACTTTAAAAACAATAGCTATTGCATGTTAATGAACGCAGTGCACGTCACAATAAACACAAACATTTAAATCATAACAAACACAGTTGTAAACCTCCTGATCGTCCACAGATTTACAGCGAGGTGCGAAAGTTTGGGCTGCCTTGTTAATTTTCCTGAGTTACCTTTATAAATCATTGATTGTTTGGATAAAAACATATCAGTAAAATATATCATATAGGGGACAAACACAGTGATATTTGAGAAGTGAAATGAGGTTTAAATTATTTACAGAAAGTGTGCAATAAGTGGTTAAATAAAATTAAGCAGGTGCATAAATTTGGGCACTGTTTTCATTTTATTGATTTCAAAACCTTTGTTGGAACTCAAACGTGGTTTGGTCAGTTCAGTGACTCTTGACCCCAATACACAGCTGGCCCCAATTATGTGAAAGGGGGGCAATTGTAAGTTTTTCTCCTCTTTGCATCTTCACTGAAGAGTCGCAGCATGGGAGTCTCAAAACAACTTTCAAATGAGCTGAAAACAAAGATAGTTCACCGTCATGGTATAGAGACAAAGCAATAAATCAAGATTTCTTCATCAAAATGGACCACCATATAGAGTAAAGCTCTTATTATTGTGGACAAGCATGGCTTAATGGTGTGTTAATGAACAAACACATAAAGTGAGCATATTGTTGATCATTTCAGGGTCACTGTGAGTGTGTGCCATGCCTACAGGCAGTGATGGGACTCAGCCAGCACAGTTCTGTAACACAGATCTCCTGCCAATGCTGACAGATGACAGCCTGAGTGGGTAATGGCCCTCTAACCCAACCTTTAGCTCCAGTTGACCTGCCAGAACCTGGAAACCTCACAATGCTACCAAACTTTTAATCCCAACTCTTTGGAGGCTTTGGGATATTTTTTTTGATTTGTAAGGCTGGAAAACTCTCAGAGGTATTAAAATCTTTATCTGGAAATAGATTTTATTAATTGATGTTTTTTAAGTAATTGTGTAATTTTATAAGAGTTAAAATACGTATATAAAGTTTATTTCACATAAATATGGATGTAAAATCTGCCAGTAAAGCTTAATTGAATTGAAATTGATGTCTTATTGGCAGTTTTTATGTTTAGAAATTTTGAAAATAAGAATATTAAAAAGTGCAACATTAAAAACTGACAAATACAAGAGAAAACAGTCTTTTTTTTGCTAATCAGTTTAATTAACTACCTCTGCAAAAAAGGAAGCGACACAACTAAAACACGACGCTTAACTCCAGACATTTTTTTGGGATCAGACTTTTTATTGGACTTAAATTCACATAAATAACATCGGTTCATATATATTTTGTTTATGATACAACTTTATATAATATATATTTCCCCCTCTGATTTACATTCCTCTCTGATGAAAAGTATCTGATAAATCTATGGAAACAGAAAGCTTTGCATGAAGGCAAAACTGCTCTTTTTGTGCTGTTTTTCAAGGTCCCAGTGCCAAAAAGGAGAGGAGAGCTTTTCTCTTCAGTTATATATATATAAAAACAAATTCAAATAAACATCAACAACAAACGAATAAAAAAAAATTCCCCAAAATCACACAAACATGAAAAGCAAAAATTAGAATCTATTGCATTGTCTCTAGGGTATTAACACAGCACTACAAGGAGTGGGTAGCTATTGAAAGTCATTCACCGTAAATATATTACTGTATTGAAGTCGTGACACAAATAAAAAAAGGAGCACTGCAAACAACCTGATATGCATGACGATGACAATTTTGAGTTTTTCTTTTCATTAGAAAACAAAATGACGTAATATGATTGACTCGCTAAAAAAAAGCTGGGTTCTGAACCTGCAGCGAGGTCACATAATCATGCAGTGACCCAGCAAAGCACGCTCACACAGATGAGTTGAGCTTGTCGGCTCGGATCACGGATCAACACGCGTTCGATCCCGTGCGCCGACGATTTTCCCCAACCAGACAGGAGGATATCTGGAAGTCGGGTGCTGTTTGGTAATTTCTCTGACAAGGAAAAGAAGTTGCCTTCGAACCGCTGGATGCTCTACGGCTATTAAAACCTTTCTTAAGTATCCGTGACTGACAGATTACACAGCTCACACGTTTTCACGAACCCTCCCACCAGTGAGAGTTTTAAACTGCTGGAGCTTTGCAACTCATCAAAAATTAACCGAGTTTACTTTATATGTGAAACATCCTGTAATGCAAACTGATGTGTGCCTGCAGGCAGCTGTATCTTTGCTTTACTGAGTCAAACTCAACAAAAATGCTTCATGACAGTCCAGTTTGAGCCATAGTTATGAGTGAGGATTACTGAAAGGTGTCTCATCTGTTTATTTTTTTTATTAATTAAAGCCGACTTCCAGTGTCAGTTGAACTTTGCTTTGTGACCATCTAAATCTCCCTTAACTACAGTATTTTACACATTTGATTGTCTGAATCAGCACTGCTACCTTAATGTCAAAGGAGGGAAACTCTCATCCACTATAGAAATCCAAACAAAAACACACAAAAAAGTAACTTCAGCTATAGCTGCATGTGAAGAGCGATGAAAGACAAAAACTGAGCTGGAAGTTGTGGAAAGTTGAATGAAGGAACTAAACTTGGATCATGCTTTTATCACAACCTGAACAGAACAGGAAGTGCTGGTGTGTGTATGTGTGTGTGCGTGTGTGTGAACAAGTCACAGAGGAAAACAATCATGGCACTAAATGACAACAAACAGTGCGTGTTACCCTCTTTGTCCCTGAAAAGTCAACACCGAGGTGCCAACTTTTGAAAAACAACTATTAGTTAATCATCAAGATCAAAAATCCTCCCAAAATGATTCTAATCAAATCCTTTTCCTAAAGAAGACGGTTTTATGGTGAGCTGCTGAAATGTGCAACAACTGAGGGAAATTCTTTGCTAAAAAAAAAAATCATATTTTGTGTCTTTTTATATCACTGACCGCTTTCTCTTGCATTAGGTTTCAGAAAGTTTTTCGTGTTTTGCTTTATAATTTTATAATGTTTGAATAAACACATTAATTTTAAAATTTTCAATGATTTCTAATTATGATTAATCAGAGAGAATGAGTTAAAGTGATTGTTCTGACATTTTAAAGCAGGGTTCAGTGGAGAAGTTATGAACAATCAGTGTCTTACCTGTTGTAGATAGCTTTTTTGAGCAACATAAATTTGGAAATATAGAGTTTAATTTAAACTGGAGTAATGGCTTGTCTGAGCAAAGTGGATTATTATTTTAAAACAACTACAGTCAAAACTTTGTTAGTGGTTTCTCCGAATTATAATTTAAAAACATTTGCACCCCTGTCAGTTTTAATTGACACTTTTTCTCCCCAAAATTACAATATTCCTGCAATAATAATGTTGACGTTGTTAAAGTGCTATTTGCAACAGGTAAGATACTGTTGCTGTTGGGCAGACACCTTGTATCCCCAAAAGCAACTTTTCAGGAAATGATCATTTATTTTGAACACCTTTTTATTGTTGAGTCATCCATAAAACCACATGCTACAACATAAAAATGTCAATACAACTTCTTTTTAACAAACCAACCAGCATAAATTGTTTATACGCTTTCCACAGAACCCCATTTCAAGTCTTAACCATCACTTCAGCTCAGCCAGGAGCAGTGTTTTCTTGTTACCTGTCCTCTCCATTCCAGCCCCTCCACTCAGTCAGTTCAGATCTTCACCACACACAGAGGGCAAATCGTCTTAATTAAAAAGTGCATCAACAACATTCTGCAAATCACTCATCAAACTGAACCACTTTTTGTTGGCATAAATATTACTTTTATCTCTGGTATTGAATAAAACTCTTATTATACAACTTGAGTAGTCACATGATGCAAATCGTTGCCATCATCAGGTTGTTTCGGGGAGCAACGTTAAGACTTCCCGGAAATTTGGAAGTGGTGCTCCGCCAAAACAAACAGCTGATGGGTTCAATCTAGGAGGAAGATCAAGGAGACGACTTCAGAACTCAGCACACAGTGCTCTGCTTGCTTTTCATTATATAAGACTTCATTTTGAATTCAATAAATTCTAAAAGACAGACCCAGTATAGTTGTGTTTAGAATATTTCTATTCAAAAAAGGGTTTCTAAGGTTTGGATGTTTGAGAACCTGTCTCGACAACAGCAGGATATTTAGACTGTTGTGTTGAATCAGTAAACATTGATCTGGTTAAAGAATTTTTAAAATATAGTTCAGCTGAAATGAAAGCCAAGTTCAGCTTAAGATACATGCATTCTATGCATGTCAAAAGTCAGCAAAACATCAAAATAAAGTCTACTTTTGTTCAATTGTAGGAAATATATCTACAGAATTTTGTTTCTTGAATCTTCAGGTAACTGATATTAGAAGAAAATGTGGATACTCTTAAGGGCTCGACACACGGGCTGCGACAAACGACAGCGATTAACGGCTGTCATCGCAGCCAGGGTGAAACCCGACACACAAGACGCGATAGCGATCGCAGCGTTGCGAATCGCGCTCTCAGGTCGCTTGTCTTCACAAAATTTGATTGGTTCTTGACTCTGAATGCGGGTGTGCATTACGGACGTGTAAACTAAATAAATCTTGCGATGCTAATGATATTGAAAAACAAACACACATCAAGATACAGTTTTATGAGGAAAAACTTACCATAAACTTCACCCTGGTGCCAACAAATTCCCACAAAGCTTTTTAGTAATCACTTGGTGAAAGTGTTAGCTAACGGCAGTGTGTAGCATACTCTCTTCTCATTGGTCAGTCAATGAAACCCTCGCTGATTGGTTGTACGCTAAGCGACAGCGACAAAAGTTGAACATTTTTCAACTTTCGTATGTCGCGTCGCAAGCTCGCGTGTGCACGTCTACGTGTACGAGCACGAAATTTCACATGCACTATTTTCGCCGGTCGCTTAGCTGGAGGAGGGCAAGCGATTGTCGCCTCACCGCACAGGCTCCATAGGAAATGAATGGAGAGCGAGCGACGTCGCCTCCCGTGTGTCGAGCCCTTTAGAACAAATAAGGCCCTAATCTGTTAGATATTATTTGATTGTTCAACTGAATTCCAAATGCGTACTTATTTTATACTTTGTGATCAATTGGAATCATTTATTTTAAACAGTAAAAGAATTAACAAGCCTCTGGTGTGAAATGTGCCTCGCTCAAGCAGTATAAACACAATGTTTTACATTTTAGGAATGTAGAACTGTTTTAAGGGGACTTCCTTGTTCACTATGACATCATATCTAGGGTGTGACCAGGTTTTTACGAACACGTGTTTGGAGGCCAAGTATGATTTAGATCTCCAGAGCCATAGACAGGCTTGGAGTGAAATGGTGTCTTTAGATCTCTTTAGAAATTAAACATTCAGCGGAGAACTTAATTGGTTTTCTGTGCCTGATTCAGGTGTCCACTTTTAACAACTGTTTACAGCCCTGTTTACACAAATAAGTTTTTAAGTGAAACTAGCATTTTTTGTTGCCCGTTTATGTACTCAACAACAGTTTGCTCTGATACAAATTTTTTTTCAATTCCAGGTCACAGAGTGGAGGTTTTCGGAAATGTCCAGCATCGGTGTGATATCTCACACAGCAGACGGCTGCAGTCAATGTTTTTTCTGCACTTGCACAAGCACATTAATAACTAACAGTTGATAGCTATTTTGAATGAAACTGTTTTTGTACTCGAGCCTGAACTGTCTGCACACACGTGCATGTCGTTTAAATACAAAAAGCACAGCATCACCTAGTGACCTGACATGGAAACTACGGTGGACTCATGAGCACCTTTCCTTTTGTAACTTCCTGTTCACTTGTAAACAGCTGGGTCTAAATATCAGTAGCTTTCTGTAGTAGTCAATCCCTCTTCATTTTGTTGTCATTTTTTCAACAAATTTCCAAAATATTTGAATCTCTTTCATGTTGCTGATTTGAAAAGTCTCACCTTGGTCTTAAGCCTAGAGGTCACATAAAAATGAAACAAATAGAAAAACCCTCACAATTAGTCCTGCTAACCAGGATTCAGTCCCTGCTTTTTGTCAGACCAACCTCGTCTTTGACAGCGACTCTCGGCATCTGATGAACGTCACATGCTGATATTTTCAGGCAACAGACCTTGTTCCCAGTAACTACAGTAATGGATCGGCAACACGGAGAATGGCTACAAACTAAAAAATTTTCCAGAAGGGTGTACATACGTATTTCCCCAACACTTCGCCAGCCACACCGTCTGCGTTCGTCAGCTCCTGATCAACCTTTTCAATCGAAAGGAAGAGTCAGTGGCAGGTTTTCATCCCCGTCAAGTACGGCGACTCCTGCCGGCACAGGCCCATCTGCTGCTGCTGCTGCTCCTGGAGCTCCGAGGCCACCCCGTCGACGAAATCTGGGACGGGGAGCCCTGAGAGGATCATTAACGACTTGTTCCAGATCATAAAAGTGGGCACAACGGGCAGGAGGAAAGAGATCTCGAAAGTGTGAATGTGATGGGAATTCATGGCGTCGTAAAAGGACAGCGAGTTGTTGTCGTAGTCCAACAGGACGCCCAGTCGCCGCAGCTGAAGGCTCGCCTCCACCAGCATCTCCTTGCCGTCGTGCCGCACCAGAAAGTTGTTATTGCAGCGTGAGAACACCCATGAAGACGAGTTCTTGCCGCTCCATTCATTTTTAGGGGCTGATTTGTAAGCCACGCCGATGGCATACCTGCAAAGGGGGGGGGGGGGGGGGGGGCATTAGTGAGCTGAAACAGGCGACACCTTTAATGTCTTTAATGTACAGTCAAGATACTCAATGCAGAGGACACAGGAGGTGACAAAAACCGTTTGGGTCTTTCCTTCAATAACAGGTTTATTCCAGTCATTTAATGAGAGGAATAAATTTACAGGAGTGTACGCTCTCCGTGTTGAGTCAGTTCTGTTGCAAGTGTGTTTGTGTGTGTTTGGATAACAACCTAGATTTAAACTCCCAAAAGAAGGATATTTTAGTTTACAAAGGCTTATATAACCCGCTCGTGTGTGGGTGTGTTTCTCACCACGTGGAAGCTCCCAGCAGCACCTCCCAGTAGTGACAGCCGCTGTCAATGAAGACGTTCCCGGCAGCGCCGTACGACCCGGTGCCGCTGAAGCGCTCCGGCGTGTGGCTTTTCTTCAGTGAGCTCTCGTCCTTCTCCATGGTCAGGCAGTCGTTGGACAGACGCAGCTTCTTGTGGGCTGTCTTTGGGTCTAACTTGAATGGCTGACCTGGAGCGAGACACATGCAGTTCCTGTGAAGACGGTTCTTTCAACGGAGAAATTTATAAATCCATCATTTATTCTAAACCCAAACGTTTGAGTTTTTGCCCTTGTAATTAGATTTATATTAAATTGTGACTCTTTTATTACCTGAAATCTACTTGTTGTATTTGCCTGTGGCTGTCTTGCAAAATATACAATGAAGCATTGAACAGATTTTAATAAAACTCTCAGAAAATAATTAATGGATCTACAGCTGCAACTAATTATCTTTTGAGTCAACTGAATTCCAGAAGGTCACCACAGCTAATTGACCATAGCAAACACACAAACTTGTGAGCTAGAATGTGATATAACTGCACACACAAAATCCACTTCAAGTAATGTGAGCTGCGACACAACTGGCAAAATTTTAGTATTGATTCGATAACAAGTAAAAACAGGACTAGTTTCACCGATACCAATACTTTTTACTTGAAATGTTATATTCATTGAATAATTTTGTGATTTTTGCCTTTAGTTAGTTGAAAATGATAAAACAGGACAAAGATTTTAGGCAAATAAAAAAATATTTTTAAACCAACTACTACAATATACAACATAACATAATAAACAGTAAACAAAACTGTTTTGAAAAGTCACTAGGTGCAAAAATAACTGCAACAATGTAACAAAAATATGAATATAACACAACAAAAAGTACTTTCCGTTGCACGTGTGCACAACAAACAGGAAGGGTTTTGATTAATGACTAAATGACTTGGAGACTCTGCACTACTGACATATTGTAATTTTATATGAGAAAGAGTCAGTAATACTTCTAGAGTTTGTAGTGTTTCTGATTCTAAAAGATGTTTCACTTTTCAGTCAAGTAAATGAGAACAGGTCAGGTAAATGTGAAGCAGAACGTCTACAGAATAGAAAAAAACCCGTCCAACCTCCTTCAGATGAACTTGCTATAATATGAACACATTCATGAGCATCATTCAGTGGCAGGTCCCACAAAAGGACTTTTCTGTGTTTGTTGTCATCTTTTTTTGTCACACATACCAAACAAGTACCACTTGGGACAGGCAAATCAGCCAGAAAGCCTTCCTTTCTGTTTTTATTAAATAATTTGGTTACCAGGGAGACAAGTTTCCACCCACATTACAGCTTCCCTGAAAAGACGTGACAGTAAACACACCAGTGTTTCTCTGAGGACTCCAAAGATTTTTCCACAAGAGGCACTGAGAGAGTGGTGGCACAAAGACAACGAAAAGTTTCTCTGTAAAATGACAGAGTGTAGCAGCGCATTAAGAAAAAAATGTAATTAAAAAAGACAGAGGAGCTCAGGAAAAGCCTTACAGTCCTGTAGGCAGACTGAGGGGCTAAAGTCAAAAAACTTTTTTTATTATCTCCACAAAGTTAATTTTTATTTCATTACAAAATAGAATAAAGAAATCAAGGAACTCATATCCCCTGCCACCTCTAATCCCAGAGTTCTAAACTAAGATGGTGAGAAATGACAAAGTTGTATGAATGTCAGGCACAATCTCACAAAATCATGTATTGTGAATAACTCTCAGCTTTTACCAGACAATTATTTAGCTCAATATCTGTAAAATTCAGTGAGTTATAGCCACTTTTATATTTTCTAAAAACCAATGGGCTCTGGCGGCCATCTTGAATTGAGCTGGCTCCAAAAGTTAATTAGCCGTAGACGCACATCAAATGAGTATTTCCTGAAAATTTCATTAAAAATTAACCCAGTGGTTCATGACACATTTTGGTAATAGACTGATAGATGAACAAATGTATGAAATTACAACACCAAAAAAAATGATAACCCATTTTTCACCTCTATGTGCCGGGTGATAAAAATGAAAAATGAAAAGAAAGAAAAAAACCGATGCGAAGTGGAACTAATGAATCACTTCAAATCATGCAATTTTCAGTATTTCCTTAGTATATTTATTAAAGACCATAAAGAACTGAATGTTTGCTTTTCTTCTCAAAACTGTCTGACTATTAAGACAAAGTGTATTGAAGTTGTGAAAGATGTTTCGCACATTATTTCACTGAACAAAGGTGTCTTTTACAGAAATTTTTGAGACTGTAATGGATCTAATACTTTTATGTTTAAGCAAGTAATTCATGACATCCTTTAATGTCCTAGATTTTCATGACATGCTGTTCATCTGCAGACAGAATGATTAAAGTCAGAACAAGACGTTAACAACAGTCATTCTTAGATATCACTTGTGTTTATTTTTGTGTTTTCCATTGACCTTGTATCAAATCTTGCTAAGATGACATAATGCTGTTTGTTAATATATATGAGGCCTCTCGAGACACAGTGAGTAGTGTGGAGAGATAGTGACAGAGAAGTAGAGGCACAGAGACAGGCCAGGTTGTCTGTGTTTCTTGTTGTTGCAATAAAACTCAGCTGATCATCTCACGGAGTACTTTCATTCTTGGACCACGTATTTCTGTCTTTGTTACATAAATATTGCCATAACAGAGACTATTGAAAAATTTGCATCCATGTTTATCCTGCAGTTTTGGAGCAGCATTAGCATTCAGCTGCTTAACGCTTCTAAGTTTGCTGTAGTCTCCATTTCCTACTGAGGACATTTTCAGACCTCCTTTCTGTTGCTTGTAGCTTATCAGCCAGTTGCTTTTTCTCTTTTCTTTAGTCAATGCTTTAAACTCACTATCAATCAAAATAGTCAAGTGGATAAAAAAGGAGATACTACCAAAAAGAGGAAAGAGCCATGAGGAAAAAAAAACCTCAGAGGAGGATTTGAAGTTAGAACAGCAGCACAAGAAGAGGATAAACAAAAAGTGGGGGGTGAGAAGTGCTCGCAGAGAACTCGCGGAGAGAAATGGAAGAGGAGAGTGTTTGAATTACAAGGACGGAGCTCCAGACTTCAAAGGCCCGCACCGCCGTCGGTGAAAACATTTCATAACAGTGAAGGAAGTCACCCGGCACTTTCCCTCTGTTCCTCCAATCACACAGACTTGGAAATTAGCTCAAGGAAAATGGCCTTCACTTCCACTGCAGTCGGGGTTGGAGCCATTCAGTGGAAATGCTTCTATCCTGCCGCAACAATTCAGTTTGCAATGACACCTGTAATTTGGGTCTAATGGGTGGAAAATTGTGGGGCCAAAACTAGGTGAGTGGCAGAGAGAAAGAGAAGAAGTGAGGAGGAGCGAGGGGGAGGTTGAGGGGATAATATGAGACTGAGGATCCCCTCTAAGCTACGTACCTCTCCATGTCTGCATTTCTCTCTCTCTCTCTGTGTGTGTGTGTGTGTGTGTGTGTGTGTGTGTGTGTGTGTGTGTGTGTGTGTGNCAAGTGTCAGATGCGGTTCTGAAAAGACACATTTTAAAATGTCTCTAAACTTCAATTAATGCACAATTTAAGTTGGTTTGTAGTTTGAGCTCTTTATGTTAATACTGTAGTGTTACACAACAGCATTAAGAGCAAATTTAATTTAATTTAACCAATTTATGCCATTAGTCTATGTTATTACATTTAAAATTATATTTCCAGTTCAAACAGAATAGACTATTGTCAACATATTTATGGAGTGTGATTTATTTTCAACTCGAAATATCAAACTAATGAAACAAAGTTATTAGTGAAGAAAATCAGTCTGAAAAACAGCAGACTGACTGCTCGTAAAATAAACGACAGGTCTGGACCACTTATGAATTTTGTTCTTATCTGGAAAAAAAAATCTTAGAATACGAGAAAATTGGTGAATGCCACAAATTCTCCTAAATAACTCATACGCACAATTTAAGAACAAATCTGTTCACAGTTCTTGCATGAGGCCCATTGAGAGAAAATTTGATGGCGTGGCTGAGAATAATCTGATTGGAATACATTGTGTAACCTTTTTTTTGGCGGGGGTGTGGAGGGTAGTTACTGTATATTTTCCAGGCAAATAGTTTAATTCGACACCACAATCAATTAACTATGTTACCTTCAGTTGTTGTGAAAATGCAGTATATTTAAAAAGAAAAGTGGACTTTGCATCATAGTCTATCTAAACATTTTCAAATTGTCACCTGTCTCTTTAAAAACCTTCTAATGTTTTGGACACTCCCACTTCAGCACATCTTCACAGCAAAGGTTCTGGGGGAGGGATGTTTTGTGGGGCGGGAGCTCGGCAGCAGACTGAGCCTCAGGGAGGAGCTTTGTACAAATAGGCTGTGCTTTGTACTAGCAAGCAGCTCCACATGACTACCACAGAAAATTCATGGATGTCTCAAACATGCACGATTGAGTCAAAGCAACACTCTGGGTACGTTTTTGACAAGAGAATGATATTATAACATTATGTAAATCTAAAAAAAACCAGTCAATTTTGTATAAACTCCCCTTTAAAATGTTCCCAGTATTAACAGTTGATTTAAAGACATAAACCCCGTCTGTCTGTGTCACAGTGGGGTTTTATGGGTTCTGTTTTGGTTTGGGTTTTGGGGTTTCTGTTTGAGTTTCCTTTCTGTCTGTCCCAGGTGTGTTCAGTTAGTTGTGATTGTTGTTGCCCTCAACTCCCCAGGTGTTTCCTCTTCCCTCATTAGTCCTCTAAGTGTTTAAGTCCTGGTCTGCGTCTGTGTTATTTGTGGGTGCATTATTACTTGTTGCAGTGGTGGATCTAGAAAATTTTCTATGGGGGCAAAAGCTCTAGGTAGGATGGCAATGCAGGATCACTTCACTGAAGTACTGTAAGACATTTCCTATATCTAAATAGAGTCAACAAAACATCCATAAAAACACTTTGAAACACTATTTATTGTAATTTTCCCTTCTAAGAAACATTATGTGTGTGTGTGTGTGTGTGTGTGTGTGTGTGTGTGTGTGTGTGTGTGTGTGTGTGTGTGTGTGTGCGCGTGTGTGTGGCTTCTTGAAAGTCTCCACCAGACCTGACATTTAACTCTGACACCTCTCATTTCATCTCTCAGCCTCTCAGAGTCTCCCATAGCTTAATGAGGATGACAATGAGGACCCTGACTCC